TTCTGTGGGGGAAATGAGGGTGGAGGTGGTAAAGAGCTAATTCAAGATACAGACCTATTTGCTTGAGGATATGAAAGTCGTAGGCAATCACGGATGTGCTCTACAACAATCATCGTGGACTCGCGAACAAGTTGAAGAAAAAGACAATTCATGCTCCGCAAAGCAGTATTACTTTTTTTGAAATTCAGACTATTTGGAAGGAAATAAAACCAGCATTACCTTGTCAAACCTGATAAAACGGTTGAAACTGTTATTTGGGACTGTTAAAAAAAGGTAGATTGAATGCTAAGGCATTCTTAAAGTGACGGAAAACGAGATGGCATATGCATTCTTTAATCACGAGTAAGATGGAGATCAAAAGTGAAATACTGAGAAGCGTCAGTGGTATGGTATAGCACTGCTATTTTTCCGCCGATACGTATACTTATCTCTGGATGATAGGCGCATAAAATGCGACATTAGAAAAGAAACCCCAACTTCTAGGCTATAGTTCTGAAATGTACCAGAGGGATTGATAATGCAGAAGCAGTGTTAACTAACCCTAGCAGGGAGCCGAACCCCATAACCGGCATCAGATTAAAAGGCACCAGGAGTTATTAAATCGCAGTAACATGAAGGACAATATGAACACTGTGGAATTACTCTTGTCTAAGTCCAATAATCTGGAATCGCTTTTGCATAAAGATTTACAAAGACTCAAGCTGAGGGCCTCAATATACATATTCAACTAACCATAATGAAATATACACACATTTGCTTTAGGTCGATTATGAAGACGGCAGCACTAATATTTTTTGTAAGGAAATATTTCAAGAAGTTATCGAGAAATGTGAGCAGCAAACGCCTTAACATAAAGTAAACGGAACTCCTGTCCAGCAGCAAAGCAAATATAAAAGCAAACACTCGTTTTAGCAATCTCATTTAACTCTGCAGTTACTTCAATTTCCTGTGATCCACCCACCAATACATTCCTTTCTATCTTATGCTCAGCCCTTCTACGCATTGACAATGAATTTTCTACAGCAATTTTCTGTCTTACTGCGTGTTCAAGGATGATTTGGAGGGCTACAGTGTGACAAAATTAGGCTCTAAAAGCGCCTGTGTCGGGGATGGTATTCATAATGCAGATGCACTTTTGACTTCCCCCAAAGTTGTATGATGTTGTTTTTTGCTAGAGAATATAATTGAATATAATTAATTGCCAGCATTCAAATGAAGGGCACGGAGGCACCACCTTAAAGGGTAACATATGCACTTACGAAGTATGACAAACTTTTGGAAGTCAAAGACACCTTTACTAAAAATAAAAGACAAAAACTCAAGCGGGGAGTGTGAAGCAACGACTGAGTGTCGTAATGCATTAGTTAAAAAGATGGGGTAATTAAAGCACGGTTATTTGCAAAACTACCTCGGATAAAATGAGCCATTAACGCAGCACTTTGAGGGGATTTAATGATAGAACATTGGAAGAGAAGAGGGGAGCAAAGCATACCCTTAAAGCATCGGTATGAGCATAGCAAAACACTTCGAAAATTAATTTAATAAGTGAAATGATAAATTGACTACTAGCAATGCAATCAAAAAAAGTAAAGAAGTGGAATGCTAAATAGAATGATTTTGGTATTACTTTTTCTTGTAACAAACTAAGCTCATTTTTACGATACAAAAATGGTGCAAAAGTGGAATAAAAAGATTATAAAAGGAATGCTTTTGCTGGAAGATTAGTAGGTACTAAGATCATTACGAAAGGATGCGGATCCCAAAGAGAAGCCAAAAGGAAGAACAGTATGAAGTGCCAAATTAAAAATGAATAATAGATATTGGAAGGCGTGCTTTGGGGGGATTACATAAGCGCTGCTTCTACTTGGCACGGTAGGGATATTTTCTTACTACTTCATCCCTAAGACAACTTGCATTTATTTAATAGGACAGCTGTAAGAAGCGTATATACCAAAATGTCTCAAATGAGAGAAGTAAAATGTAAAACACAATGTCGTTTTTTGAAATATCATTCCAAATGAGTGAAAAATATGAAAGGAGAAAATAAAATCAAAACGCGACGCATAGTGAGTAGGGGAGGAAAACGGAACAAGTGGGTAGCGGGAAAACGTCTCAAATGGAAGGAGCGTTGAATAAATAATAATAAATTTATCCCGGAGTGATTAGTATTTAGTCGCAAGATCTAAATCATTCTAACTAGAAGTGATAATACTACTTACCACCCGTTAGGCAAAAAACACATTTTTATAATGCTACCGATTATAAGCAAAATGTATGAAGGTGGAAGATCGACACATGCAAGGCTTCGCCTTAACGGCATCCTCATTTCATTGTGCATATGCAGGGAGGTATACTGAATAAAAGTTTGTCCTACCGTAACTTGGTACTTAATTAGAGAGCATTACAGCATATGTATTTTAAAATAATGCTGTACAAAGGAGATTAGAAATTGAACTGTCAAACAGCAATTATCGAGGTTCGATCGAATTTCAGTAAGAAGTAGAAAGGAGCAAGAGAGGTGGAGAGGATGATACTGATCTTTCTTTTGCATAACACTGCACAATAAAATAAACAAAAAATAACATCATGAGGAAATTTGCGCTAAGAAAACCTCAAATGGGTTGAGCGAAAATGCTGTGCGAAGCGCCCACATTTGACGCATGATTCAAAATGAGCAAGACACAAAAAGGGGAGTGAAAATAAAGATACGCAACGCCCACTTTTGTAACGTAATTTTTTCATAAAAATGTAGTGGGGTGAAAATACAGTAATGCATCAATGAGAAGACAAAATTTTGATACTGCCCCACCTGTTGTCCACATTCAACAAAACATCCAATAATAGTCCATAAATCTTCCAAATGGTGAAAAAAGAGGATAATTGCCTTACAGATTCTCAAAGAACCTGCCATTTTTAAAAGAAACGGTATATTAAAAAGCGATTTGACATTTACGCATAAACAATGCTAAAATGGATCAATTAAAAGAATGATATTAGCATTGCTTCGCTCCCTAGTACCGAATATTTATTATTTGTGGAATGAAACATCTCAATCAAAAGAAGGTCACTAATACATCTTACCAAAAGTCTATGGAACCCAAGCCTTATCGAATACGACTGAAATTTCAAGCAGAGAATATCGAGGGGTGTGTATGTTAGTTAAAGCACTGTAGGCGAAAGAAACTAACAAAAACGCCGAAATTCAAGGTGTTACCGCGTTTGAATGACTAAATGAGGAGAGAGATATCAAGCTGCCGAATCACAAGAGCAAGATGAAAAACGCTGATTCCATCTAGCATGATGTCTTCATTTCCGCTGTGCATATTCAATTAAAAAACTTGTTAGGGTGTAATGGCTAATATTAGGCGAATGAAAAGTTCGTTTGGTTTTGATAATAAAATTGACTGCAAGAAGTTTCGTTGAAGCAGTCACCGTTACAGTCTAGTATTTTCCCTGTGAGATGTAAACTTGCGAATTCGACTTTTATACGATGTTTTGGCTGTAGAGACAAAAAACTAGCCCCAACCATCTCCATTTCCAACTCAATTTCATTTCTCAACCTATTTCGCAATCGACTGCATGAAGTCGAGAAAAAGTGGTAGTCGCTCGAACAAATATCAAGGCATTACGGAAGATGAGGTGAGGCAGTGTATTCCTTTCACCTCAACATGAAGTGCACTGTCAGGGGTCAATTTTGTGGTAGGAGGTATAAGTTTTGCGCTGTCGGCTTTTAGGGATCGGGTGTTATTCCAACTCATTAGTCTTAGTTGTTTTCGGGGTTGTTTCTTCACAATTGACAGTGAACAATTCCGTCTACAGTCTTCAATACTGACCCAAAAAACGGTGTTCCGGGGATGGAGCGATTCATACCGTAGAAGCGTGAGGTAGACAATAAATGAAACTTCTGGGCATAGCAAATAACGCTTTTGGGTGCTGAAGGTTGAAATACACGGGTAAGTCAGGTCCCGTTCCATGTCAGCCGATCAGTCCGTTGGTAAACAGTCTAGAAAGCAAATTGATGGTCTTCCTAGCCCATTGCTAT